CACAAAGTTGCTGTTGTTGTTGCTAATTTAATTTACACTGCATAATTGCCCAAGTGGCTTCTATGCAGTTTGAAGCACAGAGAGGAGCCCACTGATGCTTGACCAGGTGTGCTGGCACCTGTGTGACATCTGCTGAATTAACATCGGGCAAATCCTCCAGACAGCAAATTTCAGAGAGAGTGGCATTTCCCATCTCCAGCATGTAATGCCATTTCAAATGGACCCTTTCAGAGTTGGTGGAGGATGGTCTCCCTATAGATTTTACTTGTTCCTTCAGGTATAAAAACATCTAAGCCCAGCAACTTTTCTGAATTAAAAATTAACCAAGTATTGTTATGAGTTTGCGGGGAGGAAGTAGGATGTGAAACCCTTCTAACCCCTGAATCCAGCAAGGGTTAAAATATAACCCAGACTAGCTTCCTGTGTTTAGGCGATCACCTGGGTGACGGGGCTTTTTTCAGCCAGAACTCAGTGGAAATCAATTCCGGCACATCTCAGATGGGCGCCATGGCCATTATAATAGCACAAGGGAGTTGATGGTGAGTTCTCTTTTTCTAGAAAAATAGCACTGGTGTTGGGCCATTAAGAAACAAAGGGAAGGGGGCTCTGAGCAAGAAGGCAACTCAACTGAGAGACAGTTAGAAGGTCAAAGCCTGAGTTTAGAATTGAGAATTGGCAGTGATGTGACCTAGAGGTAAAGCAGCAAGTTGGAGAGAGTGTCAGAGCAATGCTTGATTTCTGTTTGAATCCGAGGCTGCAGCTTTGGGGGTGGGGTAACCTTTTTGGGTGTTAATGCTATGAACCCCTGTGGCTCAGGTTGTATATACATGTAAATAAACACCATATATCATAAAGACACCGCAGTCTCCGCTGTGCCTCATTCTAAAAGGAAACAGGAACCCTGGGTAAGCTCCTGGAACCCCTGAAATCTCACACTGCTCAGAGAGTGGAGTAGTGTGCAACAGTATATTCATTGCAAAGATCTTGCTACTACGAGCCATTATGTCACATCCTTCTACAAAGCGCTTGCTCCATCCGTCTCTTTCCAGTGTTGCCAAATGCCTAGCACAGTGGTGAGGCTCCAGGGGCTGCAGTAGAGAAGGAGAGCCACAAGGGGGCATCCCGTGAACATCCACATTGGCTGTGTCTGCCTGATCAAATCCTGGTTTTGTAAGCCATGCAGGTGCTTTCTGCACCCATCCAAAGCTCTTTCACTCCTCCCTTTGCACAAGCAGGGTCTTAGCTGATCACAGAACAATAAAATAGAATCAGAATTATAGAGTTGGAAGGAACCCCAAGAGTCATCTAGTCTATGGATGTAGCAGGAAATGATGGTTAGCTGCATCTTCCTGGTTAAGTTTCCCTGCTTGTGGCAAGGCAGAAGTGAAGCATGAGCAGCAAAGGAGCTGGACTCCAGTGTGCAGCACCCACACATACTCTTAACATGCAATAAAACTTGCACACATTAAGCCAATAACTGATTGTGTGAATACAGCCACTGAGTGTAAGGTTGTGGGTCAACTCAGAGGCAATAAATCCTTCTGTTCTGTTACAAACTAATATGCAAGCTTCTCTGTTCTCTAGAACTCTTAATCAGGCAAGGTGGGGGGGGACACAGGTAAGAGGGAGAGGGGGAAATGGTTGATATTGGAACCATCGATGGAGTCTGTGGCAATGTACACATTAACAGCTTGAATCACAGAAAAGTTGTCATCCTGTGCACCCCCACTCTGTGTTTCAAGTTGCTCTTTAATGTTGCCATTCACACCAGAGATGGAGTTGGGATGTCTTTGCCTGATGCCCATTATCTGATTTGTTTCCCTCTGCCAAACTCCAGTTCACTGAAGAGGTCATCTGAGCATGTGCAATGGCTGCCTGAAATGTACACACCTCAGCTCAACCACGATTTTCTTTTTCTGGGAAGGGGAAACAAAGCTGCTGATTCCTCATTTCTGTGGATATAGAATCCAGATTGTTACGGTAAAATCTGGGTGCGGGGCTACTCTGCCACCCAGCTTGTCGGACTAGGTCCGCGGGTCCCTGCGGAAGAAAATGAGCTCAGCCGGAGACAGGAGCAAACTGCAGAAGATCCAAGTTTATTGCGCAACAGGTTCAAGACGAGATTGAACAGCGAGAAAGGGGTGACATGAACTTTTGAAACTTCCCTCCATGTCCCAGAATACAGTGCAAAATACATCCTAGTTACATCATGAATACATTAAGAAGAGGTTGGGTTACACAGATTACATCATGAATACATTAAGAAGAGGTTGGGTTACACAGGATTAACATACGGAGGAGGGAGGGGGGATTGTGCAGAGCTGGAGATATGCGCAGATAAGCACATCCTGAGTACCTGATGAGAAGACAATGGTCCATGTATGCATGGTCTGCCACCTGGCATTGCCCGGAGGAAAGGCTTGGCAGAGTGATTTGACAGGATTAGGGTCTTGACACCTTGCTTGAGGGATTATGGAGGACAGGGGAGGTGTCATGGAGTCCTAGAGAAATTGAGCAAATTGGCATGTTGATTTTCTATGAATTTTATAGATTTTAGTCCCTTTTGACATTGAGAATTGGAAATAAATGGATATATTGTAGCAAAGAAGGAGGTGAAGAAGACATGCCCCCCCCTTCCGTATCAAGATGTTGCTGACTCAGATATCTCTGTCCTTAGGCAAAACACACAGGTTACTTGGTTGGTAGAAAGCAGGAATATTAGTTTTAGTGATTCAGTATTTGTTTTTCAAATAAATATTTTTGGTCCCTATTCTATTATTAACGTGCAATTTTCATTTCATTTATACACCCCTTAATGTTTCAAAAATCTCTTAAGTGGTGAACAGTCTAAGAAATACACAACAGATCATTAATACAAGAAACAAACTTAAAACCAAAAGAACAGTGTAAAAAACACATGAAAGCACATAAAAGTGAAAGAAACAGAAACTCAGAGGACTCAAAGTCCAATTTTATGCCAGGAAAAGGGGGGCAACTTTATAGTTCTATGAAATGGTCTCTATCTCAGGAGGGTGATTAATGAACAAGAGTTTGTTGAAAGTGTTAACAGAGAAATCTGAGAGCTCTCTTGGACAAAAAAAACCAAGGACACCAGACAGGAATACCAGAGCAAAAGAGCAGCCAGTAGGCTTGGTCTTTATTGAAGACTGTTGCGACAGGACTCCCACCTGCCACAAGGTGGAACAAGATGGAAGCCCTGAACAAAAGAGCCCCAAAACTTTTATTAGCTGCTAATCCCCATGTTACACCCCCCCAAACTACATCACTAATACATCATGGTTACATCATGAAAGGGGAGGTCTGGTGGCAGTAATCTGAGCACCCTGGACCCTGCTCCATGGTTCCCCTTGCCCTCCACCAAACACCCATCAAGTGTAACAAAATAGATATTTACATTTCCCTGTTTCCCAGCCAAGTTAATCACACTCTTTTGTCTTCATCTGGGTTTGTTTTTTCTGGAATGGCTACCTGTCTGGCACTCAGGTATCAGGATGCCAGGAATTATCACTCAGGCAGAGGGGCTGCTGAGTAGCTGAGCTCACATGTCTATATGAATTTCTGAAGTTCTCCCAGTTGTGATAGGAATTTTGAGGTCTTAGATATATATTAAATGTTCATAAGTGTACCAACCAAGCACGTACATAGATCAGCACAGGAAGACCAACCTGGAACCATTTTGATTCCCAAACTGGGCAAATGTTTTCTCTGCAAGAAGGGGGGTCAGGGAGCCTTCCCATTGTCTCAGGAATTGAGTAATCAGCATTTTAATGGGTGGCAGACTATCAGAAAAGGCAATCAGGAAAGGCAATCAGATAACCTGGCAGACAGGAAAAACAACAACACCTTTTCTGTGATGTAGATATGATGTTTGTGGGAGTAGTCTTGGGTTACACCCCTTCTGTGATGTATGTATGATGTATGGAGGGGTGGTCTTGAGCTGGAGGGCAGGGAATTTAAAATGTCTAAATAAGGCCTTGTGCGCCATTGTTCTGGGTTCCTCCTCCTTTCCTGCGTGTGAGGGGAGCACCCTGTTGCAACAGATCAATAAAGATCAAGCTTACTAGCTGCTTTGCTTCTCAATATTCTCTGTTGGCTTCTGTTATTTTCTCCTACCAACAGGGAAACTACGTGAGGACTCTATATGGGCTCTTGGATACCCCATAAGGGGAAAAGGGCAGATTTGGTTTACAACACAGTGAGCCAGTACACAGACACATTTATCAGTGAATTCTTACATTTGGTATCATGCAGCAAAGGCCGTTTGAATAGATAGGAAGAAACTGTGATGAAGTGTTTTGTGGGGACAAATCACAAAAGTCACAAAAGTGATTGTGCTGATTTTGGTAATGGGCTGCATGTGCATATCTGCTGGAGAGGCAAACCGCCCCCCCAACCTATACTGTACATAAATTCCTGCAACAAAAGGTACTTCCTTCTTTATGGCAAGGATTTGTGCTTCCCCACTCACCGTGCTTTCTTTCACTAGTCCATTAATTCAATTCATGTATACTTGAATCTAAACATATGTACTGAATCCTTGTGCGTATATTTCATATATTGGACTGATTTTTTTTAAAAAAAATTATATGTATATTCCATATATTGGACTTAACTTTTTAAAAGAATAAACGATGGGCAGGGCGAAATTTAAATAGGTATCCTTGCAATATATCTCTGAAAGCCGCAAGAGGGCTGCGTGCCTCCAAAGTCAGCCCCCTCCTCCCCATCCACCATCTTCGGCTTCTCTCCTAGAAGGGCCCCCCCCCTGCCCTTACTGCCTGCGCCTTTAAGAGGGAGGAGCCCCGGGGGGTCACGCGGCTAAGAGGGGAAGGCTAGGAGGAGAAGGTGGCGGAGGGCTAAAGCCCGGAAAGCACCGCTCTCCTTCCTTCTTCGCCCTCCCTCCCTGCCTGCCACCCCCGCCCTTTCCTTTGTCATAATGCGCAGGGTCACGTGAGGCCGAAGGTGGCGCACTGTGACGCATGCGCAGACCAGTAACTCGGGAGGGGGGAGGGACCGCCTGTGCCTTGCGCTGCTGTTGTGCGTGGAGCGGCCGTTCCCTCCCTCCGCAGCCCCTGCGGTCGCTGGCCGGGAAACCCCATCGAGCGGAGGAGCGGTAGCGGCGCTGTGAGGCGAAGGAGTTGGAGGCCGAGGCCGAAGACGACGACGACGAAGGAGGAGAAGGAGAAAGAAAAGGAGCGGAGGGAGACCGAGGAAGAGGAAGAAGGAAGGAAGGAGAGAAAAGGAGAAGAGAGGTGTTTTAGGAAGCCGCCGCCACCGCCATGATGGCGGCCTAGCCGGCCCAGCGCAACGCCTGACGGGAGCCGCCGTTGCTGCCGTCGCGGAGGACCATGGCGGAACGAGGCGGCCTTTGAGGAGAAAGAAGCCGCCGCCTCACACGGGAGGACGCCCTTCGCGGCCCTTGTTCTCCCTCAAGGCATCCTTCCCTCCCCGCCCGCCGCCGCCGTAGTCTCGGCACCTGCCCATCCCCCACCCGCGTAGCGCCCCCCGTCCTTCCCTCCCCTCCACCGCCATGTCCTGCGTGCACTACAAGTTCTCCTCGAAGCTCAAGTATGACACGGTCACCTTCGATGGACTCCACATCTCGCTCTGCGACCTCAAGCGCCAGATCATGGGCCGCGAGAAGCTCAAGGCCGGCGACTGCGACCTCCAGATCACTAACGCTCAGACCAAAGAAGGTAGGAAGGACGACGACGACGGGCGGCTCTCGTGCTCTGTTTTCTCGTGTCGTCGTCGTTTGGCTTTCTTCTCTTCCTCTTCTCTTGTGGGGACACGACCAGCAATCCCTCACACACAGCGCGCGCACACCCACCCGCCCGCGATCCAGCCCCCCCCCCCCGGCACGCGAAGAGCTTACCCACATGATGCGTACACACATACACAACAACATGGGTTTAAAAGGCACGTTTACACACACAGGGAGCAGAAATAATCCCGGGGGCTGGGAATTGTGGCCTTGTGAGGGGTGGAGATGTGCTTTAGATGTATGGATGGTGATGTATGCAGCCACAGTCTAAATCGGGGCAGGAGTGACAAACATCCTTGACTCAGGAAGCCCTTCCCTTATGAGGGTTACTAGGCCACATTTTCTCCAAAGGGCATGGGTCTTTATCTTCACATGCTTTCGCTTTGCTTTCTGCAGAGTCAGGCCACTGGGCCTGTTTAGCTCAGTATCATTGACACCTTTGGTCTTCAACTGGTGGGTTGGGACCCACTACTGGGTCATGGTCTGATCTAAGATGTTAAGTGTCAAGTGGGTTTCCCAATGCATATTTGAATTACAGGTGGGACTCAGGCCTGACAGTATTGAAGACTGCTGCCAGAGGCTCCCTGTGATGTCAGGCTGGGGAAATTCCCAGCCTTACCAAAGATGCCAAAGCTTGAACCTGGGGTTTTCCACTTTGCAGGTTTTAAAATTGCTTAAGAGTTGTTATAAAATTTTAGGATGCACACACATATCAGACACACACTCCACAGAAAACCAACCCTTCACCCTTCAAAATTTAGGAAATATTTCCTGAGAAAATTGCCCATTTAGGAAATATTTCCTGAGAAAATAGCACACAGAACAATCCCAGAAGCTATATTGGCTCTCCTAATATTAGAAGAGATATCCCAATAGTTATTTCAGTTCCAAATCCTTCAAATCCCATTTTAAGGGGGTGTTTTGTGTATGAATAGGAAGTGACCTGGATTCAAGAACCAAAGTATTTACCATCTCAAAAGAATAGTCAGACTGCCTAGGTACAGTCATACCTGGAGTTGCGATCACTGCGGGTTGTGTGTTTTTGGGTTACGGACATGCTGAACCCGGAAGTACTAGGACGAGTTACTTCCGGGTTTCGGCGCATGTGCAGAAGCGCTAAGTCACCTCCCGCACGGATCACGTTCACAACCGAGGTTCCACTGTAATGCAATTAGTTAAAAGGTTATTAGGTATCCTGGCAGGCAGGAGAGGAGCCTCACTCTCAGTTTTTTGTTATAGATTGCCTCCTTGTTCATGATGTTTTTAGGGTGGTCTTTGGCTAAGGGGTTGGGCAATGTGTAAAGTCTTTAAAGGGGCTTGCACATCTTTGTTCTGGATCTCTCACCTCCTTACAAGGAGGCAGTGGCTTTGTTATAACAGAAAAATAAAGATCTGCCTTGCTTTCACTGGATCCTGCCTCCATCCATCTCTGACCCATTATGGACTTAGGGAACTCAGAGTCCCTTGGTGAGTTGGGCAGCAAAAACTAACCCCCAATTCTACAACAGGCTAAATACAAAGGGAAAAATACGAAGCAAATGCTCCACTGTTGAGCTAGGCATTGGAAAAGTGAGGGCCCACAGTTAAGCTGTGGGCAGTATTGGGAATTTGAACCTGGAACTCCTTAGTCTTTGTCCAGGACTCTTAGCCATCCCCAGCCTGATGTTTTAGAGAACAGCTCCCATCAGCCCTATCAAGCATAGGGTCAGAAACTATGGGAGTTGTGGTCCTAAAAATCTGGAGGGCTCACACCACTTTGTACACCTTTTCCGTTACTTACCTTCCTTTCATAGATTGGTGTGTGTATGGGTAGCCAGTGGTCAAGCTGTTGCCCTGTATGTGGTGAGATGAATTACTAAGGTGGTAGCATCTTTAGTCTTGTGATCTTCTAGGTCTCACCACCCCAGACCCAAGGGTATATGGCCGGTAAAGAATGCAACTACTCATGTAAGCAATTTAAAGTTACATTATATAGCACTTTTGTGCCTGCAACACTATGTTACTTCAGTAGTCCTTACAGCAGCTTGAAGCACATGCTTCCCCAACACTACCTAGTGTGCTAAAGGTAACAGTTGAATTGGGGAAACAGTTTAAAACTTGTTTCATCAGTGTTACTTAGTTTCCCATTCCAATACCAGACTGGTACACAAAATCTTTACACTGCTTCCCTGAATATGTAATAAATACCTAGAAAAATATTCTAGTTTTTATATGATAAATAAGTAGAGAGCTTGGCTTGTATCTGGTCATAGTTGAATCCATCAGAAGTTGTTGAATCCATTAACAAGGCCCCTCAGGTTTTTTTTGTTTTGACTGCAAGTGAGGCTAAGGTGGCCAGATTAGCTGGTGTCTGTCTGTAGCAGCAGTCAGCAGCAGATGCGTCAGAGGAAGTGCGTGGTAAACAGTTGTTGCCATGAGCCATTCCAAGCCACTCACTCCCAGTTTCCGGCAGCTCCAAGATTCCACATACTGTTTAAGCAGTTACATCATGGCTAATAGCCACTGGTGGCCTACTTACCTCTGAATTAGTTAAAATCTTATTATCCTTGTTGCCTGATGGTGTGGCATATGGTGTTATGTCAAAACATACATACTGAATTTGTGTATGAATAGAGCTGCTTGAGTAGATTTACGATCTCATGATTTCACCATTGGTACAGTATAGGGACACTCTGTAAGAGCCTAGGATGAGGAGGGGTGCTTTATAACAGTTATGTCAGGAATAGGGAACTTGTGTTCTCCAGGTATTGTTGGCCTCCCAGCTCCCATGAGTTCCAGCCAGCATAGTCAGGGGTGACTGGAAATCTAGTCCTCCCACATCTGGAGGAAACAGGTTTCTTATCTTTGGCTTATGACAGCCTAGGGTGAATACACTGGATACGATTCGTTTCCTGATTGGTGGTAGGCCTGGTGGACAGTGACTTTGATAATGTCAACACTCATCTCAGTAACCTCCTTGGCATGCTAAAAAGTGGACCAAGACTGTCTTTATGTGAATCTTTAGGAAAGTACAAGTCATGTTGGCCCTGCTGAGGATATGTGCATTTTAAACATTGTGCTTGTTACCACAAATCACAGCAAACAAAGCAGACTTCAGACTGCCACAAAAGCCTCTCATATGTACAAGACTTTATGGAAGAGAGAATGTTTGTCCTGCATGTATGTGCATTGTGTGTCTAAAGCAAGTCCCCAAGGTTGTCATGTGCAGGCAAAAAGCTCCAAACTAACTGCTCACTGAAAATGGCATTCACCCCACTGAGAGAGTTCACAGTAAATGTAGATTAGATGTGTCAGGACTGAATTAGGCAATTGGATTAATGTTTATTAGGCAGCAAGGTTATAGTAGTTCATCTAGTAAGGCACTCCAGACAGGTATCCTGGGGGAAATAGGCTGTGTCACATTTACCCTCATGCTCCTTGTCCCCCCCCCCCCACAAAGTATGTGTACCATTACACAAGTTTTGTGTTAATTCCTGGAAAATGTGCATAATTCCAGCAGAGACTGTAGAAAGACTGTTTGGGACAATAAGTTGAAAAGTGAACAATGGCAAGTTCTTGATGTGAACACAAGCCATTTATTTCCTCAAGAGAACTGTACAGTGAATTCCTTAATTAATTTTCATGTCAGCTAGTTAAATTTTTATGACAATAGCTGTTTCAGTTGCTGAACTATCTGGAGTTTTAAACAAACAACCACCAGGTCCCTGGGAAATTCAGTCGTGTATTATGCTTGCCATTTTTATGCTCTTGTCCAGGGAAAATCAGAGACATCTTCACCAAACGCACTGTTAGCTTATTGTGCCCATGCATATATGATGTGTGTTAAAACATCCACATTGGCACAATGATATTAGCAGCTCCAGACTGGTGGGGGGTAGTTAGTTGTAAGCACCCATCCTAACTATGGAGCCATTTTATAACTGGGTGCTTTTTAAAGAAATAGGGGTAAGATTTCAATGTATGGGGTTGGGTGGCTTAAATCTTTTGGGTGGAATCCAACTAACTCCCTCTCTGATTAAACCCATTGGAATTGCTGGACCTAAGATAGCTGTGTTCATTCATTTCAGTGAATCTACTCCAACTATAACTGTTATTAGACAAACCTTTTATAATAGGGGGGAGAGCCATGTAATCCAAATACTAAACTTGTGGTTTGTACATTCACACATCCTGTTCTTTGCAACCTTTCACAAGGACAAGCTAACATTTTGGTTATGTGATTTTGGCAAAAAAAGGTAGAACATTTTTCAGTATTCCCAAAAGGGTGAGTCCAATGAATTTGCCACCTCAGATCATTGTGCTATAGTAACTGCCATACCTGCTTTCTTGGGAACACTTTGCAAACTAGACTACAAATTCATAGACTTAGGTTGCAGTCATATATACCCTTACCTGATAAAGTCAGTAGTGTTTACTTTTGAGTATACATGTATAGGGTTGCAGACAGAGTGTGCATTCCCAATGCAGTGTGAAGTTCCAGACCACTCTGTACATAAGTTATCTTTTGCTTTAAATACCTCCCTATGAAATCCTTGTTCTGGAGTGCACTCTTAATTGGCAGGGTCCATTTAGCATTTTAAAACTTTCCCAAAAATGCTAAATACGGTCCTGTGCTTTTAGCCAGTGTCCTAATAAATTACATTTTCATTAGTATACATTCTACAGATCTTGGGTATATTAAGGAAAGTGGTCCAAGTTCCACCAAATGCTACTTCAGTAATTGTGGGATAAGTATTAATGATCCCAAATGGTTATCATTGCTGAAAAGGCCCAGGGTTTTGTGGCCTATTTTGAGAAAATTCCACATTGGATTTCTTTTCTTTTATTCTGAACCAAGCATACATGTTTTTTCTCTCCTTTCCTAGAATATACTGATGATAATGCCCTGATTCCCAAGAACTCATCTGTTATTGTCAGAAGAATTCCTATTGGTGGAGTAAAATGTACAAGCAAAACTTATGTCATGTAAGTGTCTGGTTTTTTGTTCCAAGTACTAAAATAAACATATGGATTCTAACTAACATGTAGAAGCTTAGTGATGCAAGAAACATAGTTTAATTTATTTCTGCTACATGAAAAACATGCATGCAAATTCATTTTGTCATATTTGACCATGCCAGCAGCATATGTTAGTTGCACATTTCTATTTCCGTCTATGGCAGTTACATTCCTATTTATTCTCCTGATGAAGCTACACTTTCTAACAGAAGTTACAGGGAGAGCAGTTTTCTACTTGCTAGTTTGTGGGGGATTTCCATCAGAATCCTCTCCCCCACCCACGCAGTCTTGAGTTCCATGTGAATGGATTAGGCGCATCCAGTTTCTAGTTGGTAATAAGTTATGTGTTTTGATATGTTTGGTGAGAGTGGGACAATAAAGTCAAAAAGGCTATTTTGCTTACTGAATAATACTTTAAAATTATACTGTGCCCTTTCTGGTAGTCCTTTGAAAATGAAGAATCGGAGTTGGAATGGACCCCTGAGGGTCATGCATGAAGTCCAACCCCTACAATTTGGCATCATAGCTATCCAACTTTAAAAACCTCCAATAGGAAGTCTAACACCTTCCAAGGGAGTCTGTTCCACTGTTAAACAGCTCTTACCATCAGAATTTTTTCCCCTAATATTTAGTGGGAATCTCCTTTTTTGTCATTTGAATCCATTGGTTAGGATCCTCCACTCTGGAGCAGCAGAAAACAAACTTCCTCCATCTTCCTTGTGGCAACTCTTCAACTATTAGAAAATGGCTATCCTGTCACCTGTTTCTTCTCCAGGCTAAACATCCCTAACTCCTTCAACAGTTGTTCATAAGGTCTGGTTTCCAGACCCTTGATCAACTAGGTCTCCCTCCTCTGCACACGTTTCAGCTGACCAACTTAAATGGTGGTGCCCAAGAATTAGCCCTACATCTATTCTTGTTTAATTTTTTACATTCTTTTACTTAGAGGCACTTGAAGTAGATTATTCCTCTCCAGTGAATAGACTTGTGTTCCTGCAGTTTGGGAATTTGGAAAATAAACTTGACTGAAATCCTGAGTGTGGGGCTGATTCTTGAAGTTCAGGTTGGCAATAGGGCCAATTCTGAACATCTCCTGGAGATAGAATATTTTATGTTTGGATTGACTTTGGGATGATAGAGGTTAAATTGTAAAAGGAGTGGCTTTTTCACATTATGATTCATTATAAAATTAATTATGATCAGACAGTGTTGAGCTTAATAATGAAAACAAATTTCTATGGTATGTAGAGACAGGATGAGGAGAGAAACTCTTGGGACTGGTTTTCCATTATAGGAGTTTGGGCTTGTCTATGGATTGCTTAATGAGATCTACATTCTACATGTGGGTAGGAGTTCCTGGACACAGGACTCATTCATATTGCCTTTTGGGGAGGAATTGGGTGGAAGCAAGCAAGAGCAGTGGATGCTGGGCAGGGCAAGATTCTGGTGGATTGTGCTTCTGAAGATCATGTTTTGAATATTTTAAGCAGATACTATTCTAGTCCTCTTGTGCATTTGTCATAGCATGGGGTAGTTCATGATATCACCTCTCAGCCATCAATAGCATAACATGTGAATGGTGTGTTTGTGTGGGGGGGGAGAATAAGAAAGAGGGAATCATAGAATTGTAGAGTTGGAAGGATGATCTAGTCCAACCCCCTGTGATGCAAGAATATGTAACTGCCCCATACAAGGATCAAACCTGCAATCTTGGAGTTATCAGCACCACACTTTAACCAACTGAGCTGGTCTTAGGTTTGATACTTGGTAACTGGATGGCACCCTTCCACATAGCTGACATAGGTATGATGGGTTAGCACTAAAGCATAATGTACTCTGGAGTGAACATTGACTTGTTCCTTTAAAGTCAAGTGAATACAGAGCACATTTGCCCATGTTTGCAAGAGTTGCTTATGGTAAAGGTGTTGTACATTTGTAGGGTAAAATGTATCGCAGACATATCTTCAGGAACTCTTGAGAGTAATTTTTGCTGCCTGCTGAGGCCAGGTCTGGTATCTACTCCATCCCACCTGCCATGCCAACACTAAAATGTCTTGCTGCACCATTCAGGCACTTAATGCCTGTCTTCATGTATTCTTCCCACCACAATGCTCGCTTAAGCGGCCTGCTTCCTCCTCCTACAGAAAAATACTATTCCTGGTGCAAGAACCAGTTTTCTGCTTAGAGTTCCATTCCTTGGTATCTGTCCACCCACCCCTCACACACACACCATGGAACATGCTAGTTGAGTGTGCAGTACTATCCCCTCACCCCATGTGTAGTTTTAACTTAATGTGTGCCTGTGGCCTTCGCTTTGTACCACCAGAGACCATGGTTAGGATTAGTTCTTTCCCCAGTAATAAACATGACAGACATCAACCTCAAAAATGAGACAACAAAATAGCAGGATTCAGAGAAATTTTTGAAATACAAAATTGCTTTTATCTTGGGTTACTTGCTGCTTACATTTAAACTGTTTTCAGTGACAAATATGTAAGGCATGTGGTATAAGGCCCTATTCAGACATTGGCTTTGGACTTGCATGCACTCACTCCTTAACAATTGTGAGGAGATCAGTAACTTTTAAGCAATGTGTGGTTCTCTGTAACATCCAGGCTGTGGTTACTTAAACAACTTTTAATGAGAAGAAGCTAGCAGTTTCAAATCCTGCCTTGTTATCACAAACCTTAGTTTAAACACAGTTCGCCAAAGTTAAGATTTAATGGGCAGTTGTGCTTTGTATAAAAGCAGGTGCTTCTGCTCACCCACAGCCATTAAAGAAGGGAAGGGGCTCACCATAGCTTATGCACATAGCAGAAAACCATGGTTTCCCATTACATCTGAATCAAGCTTAAGTGTGTTCGTTATATGATGGCTGTTGTGCGGGAGATGCAGTTGATTAATACTGTTCTATAAACAGCTCTCTGGGCCAGGTTAGCTTCCTTGTTCACAGTTTGAGGATTTGGCCTTTTGTATAACTTTGTGCAGATCTGTTTTTCATGAAATGGGTAAAAGTTGTTAGTCTAATAATAATAAATTATTTATACCCCGCCCATCTGTCTGGGTTTACCCAGCCACTCTGAGCAGCTTCCAACAAAATATTAAAATACAGTGGTCTGTTAAGCATTAAAAGCTTCCCTAAACAGGCATACGGTTTGTATCTAAGGTGGCAGTTTCCTCTGTCATTGCTGTTTTTCTGACATTCTCTATTTTCTCTTTTTAGAAGTCGAACTGATCCAGTGAGTGGAACTTCAAAAGCAGTATGTAAAAACACAATATCACACTTTTTTCCTTCTACACACTTAATGTTTTTTAAAGTAATGTAGCAATAAAATACTTTTCTAAATATTAATTTACATTGATTTCTCACAGAGAACCATTTATATTGTAAATACAATGTATTTTGAATCAGTATAGCAAAATTAAGCAATGCAGATCATTTTAATGTGAATATTGACACTTGTGCAAAGTGATGCACTGTATTGCATATTGAATGCAAGATTATTTCCTGTATGACTATGTGTTGTACAGATACTGTATGATCATTTATAGATCATGTAAGATAAGGGTTTCACTGCTAAACGTGATTACCTTGTTCAACATCTGTGTGTCTCTAGTTAGTAGCTATATGTTTGTATAGGTTGTTGTGTGCCTTTTTGTTTTCTTGAAATAAAAACATTTGGAGTGTATCTTTTTTTTGCCACTATTGCATTGTATCACCTAGGCTTTGTTCTAAGTATTTCCCTTTATGGTTTTTGAAAGCGTCAAAAACCACATTAGTGTTAAACTTGTTGTTTTTTTTCCTTTTAACTTGGGGTTCAGGCACATGTTAAAACATCAAGAGCAGTTTTATGCAGCTATAAATGTGCCCTGTCATACACAGTCTTTGCACACGACTTCCAGTAGCAATAAGAATTTTTTTAAAACCATCTAGAACTGGTATCCTGCACTTGCTTCTGTTTTTTTGGGAGCAAGCACATAATTTAAATTTGTCACAGTAGTCAACATACAGGAAACCTATTTTGGCATAATAACCCAGCTGCAAGTCCTGCACCTTTTTAAGAAACCTTCCCAGTTGAGGATAACTTGCCTTACTTCTTTCCTCTTCACCAGACAAATTCCCTAATGTTATTTTATATTAGATAAACTCTTAAATTGAATACTCTAGTAAATCCTTCTGTAGCATACCATTGTTTGTGTATGATAACATTGGCAGCATTTTTGTTTGATTCTGGTGTATTAATTTTAGCCGGTACTAACACATATTCTGTTCAGTATGGTTTTGCTTAATTTAAGATACTGCAAACCTAGTTCTAATTATTTTTCAGCTTGGCATATCTTAAGTGTACTTGTTTAAGTGTAGCTGGCTTTCTTTTTAGAAGAACGAAACCCAAAAAGTTATTTTGTGGATTTACTGGTCTTGGTGACCAGTGAGAATATTGATGAAATCATGGTTAACTAGAAATGTTTGGTTTTTGTGTAGCCTTTCAAAATGTTAAACCATAGGCTGCATTTGACAACTCGTCATACATGTTTTAAAACTGCTTCCCATTTATAGTGACCCAATGACTGCTGTAATACATAATACAGTGGATTTGTGTAAGCTACACTTACCTAATTCTTTTTTCATGAGCAGTCCTTTTCTTTGCTAGTATGTATATAAACACGACTATATGTTCGTAAATAAAGTTCAACATTCATTTAGAATATTGTGTTCCCTGGCATGTCTATTATACATCTGGGTAGTTCTTGTAGTTTGATCAAATGTTTTTTAAATGTGTTTTTTTAAAGCAGGCTTGCAAACAGGTCCACAGAATTTACTAGCCTACAAACTTATCCACATTGTAACTTATTTGCGTTCTAAAGTGGGGGTGATGGGTATATATATTTTTAAGCTTCCCTGTCATAAGTACCTGGAGGTGACTACTACTTCCTGGCCTAGAGGGTGGCTGTTTAAAGCTAAGGCGGAACACTTACTTCCTTTACATAATTCATCTGCTATGCTGTCTTGCCCAGATGTCAACTGAGAATTCAAAAGAAAATTCTTTTTGGAAATAGGTCTTTCCAATTCTGTGTTGAAGTGTTCAGTGCTCTGGGAAACTTGGTCTAGATGGTGGGGAGGAGACTTCAGTGCTTCCATGTGATATATGACAAAGCGAAAAACTGTAGGCTGAAGATGAGGCTTGGCACTGGGCTGAGAGTAGTATAGAGTGCAGGTTTCTGTAGTCTAAAAAAGTCAACATGTTCTTAATTGTCAAGAATTCCTCAAAGTAGTACTTCTTTGATTGTTGTCTTAGTATCCAAAAAGTATAGCATCTTTTTGGGTGGGCTTTCTGCATCTAATATAGACTGCTAATGTTCTTGACAAGGCCTCCACAAGTCAGGTTTCCTAAGAAGGCAAGGTGTCCCACACACAGATTCCCTCTCCTGTGTTGCAAATAACTTGGGATCTAGGAAGTTGTGAACTCAATCATGTACAGGGCTGGATCTAACATGATCCTTAGTGCCATAGCTCTGGGGTTTTCTTAGCTCTTTGTGGTGCTCTGAGTTCATTGTAGGGCATGGGTTTGACTGGGTGTGAAATGTGAATCAGCTGTTTGTGGCCATGCAAAGGAATGGAAATCCGGGGGCTGACAGAAATCTCAACTGGAATTGATGACTTTTAAGAGCAAAGAGTTTAGCATTAAAGGAATAAGAGCAGCCAGAGGACTTCCAACTACTAGGAGACCCAAAATTCACTTGCTTGTGGTATTTTCGAGTCCAGGATGCAGTGTGTTCCCTTGTCCCTATTCTCTTAAGCAATTCTTTGCTTGTAATCTGTTCAGTGCTTTCCACGGGAAATATTACCTCTGTGCCCATGTTCCATAACTTGCTTCATATGGCTGCAGCTGCTTAGAGTAAATAACACTTAATGAGCTGTTAAGCTCTTAAGTTTACCTGCTCAGCCTGTTACCACACACAAAAATAACTGCCATGATACAGGTTATAAACTCATTTTCTTGAAAAGGCTGCCTTTAGAAAGCTGTGTTTGAGTATACTGCTTTAATTAAATTGCTGCATAGTTCAAGCTACAAAAAATGTTAGTAGTCAGATAGCTCTGATTGTGATTGGTGGGACGTTATGGAGGTGAGGTCATTGCAAATAACTCTGCGTTGGCTGAGGCTGGCCACCCAGCTTTAGGAATGGTGACCAGGATCCACTCTTAATGATGTCCCAAGTGTAGTGCTGGTGGGGTTGAATGGCAGCTATTCACTTGAGCAGGAGAAAGTAAAGGGGTACCCTCATAACTTTGGGCAAAGTGTGAAACCTATTGACTCGAGCATGTTCTCCCATCCTGCCAAACAGAGTCCTACAGAACTCCATAGAGGCAAGCTTAATTCTTTTTCAGGGTTAGCTTCTATCTGCCTAACCCCATGTTTCACTGACCCCCGTTTAGGCAGACATTATTGTAACGCTAGTCACAAACACCTGAAAAGTTGGGAGTTAGAAGGGAAATGTGTGTTTTATTATCTTAACATAAATCCATTTTTCTTCTTCAGCAACTTTTTGCATTACACTTGAAGACCATAAAACAATGCTAGTGTTTTACGATGTTATATTTCTGATTGCTTTCACTTCAGAGCTACCTGTAGGCACTACTTAAAATGTGTCTTAAAACTTAACGTTGAATGTTGTATCCTAGAATTAGCCTCTCAAAAATGTGGCTTTATTTACTTGGCGCCAGGCATGTAAGCGCTTGAGACCCAATCCTGGTACCTTCAAGCAAGATACCACCATGAGAAACAATACATGTTTTCATTGACATTGTTTTCTAAAGTAGTAGCTAGAGTTCTATTCCTTATGTCACAAGAAGGGCTATCTTATCTCATTACTGTATTTCTGGTATTGAATGCTGCCTTATTCCAAAGTTAGTTCAAATGCAGCCTTTGCCAACCTGTTGGACTCTGGATGTTTTGGGCCACAACTCCCATCAGCCCTTGCATGCACAAGTCTTTAGGATGCTGAGGCTGATGCACACCAAAGCATCTGGAGTGCACCAGGTTAGTGAAGGCTACTGCTCTACAGTAAATGAAAGAAAGTTGATCTACACAATCTGGTTTAACACTCATGGCACCTCCAACAAAATAAAATCTTTTGCTTTAGGGGGCTTCAGTTCATTTTCTGAGCAGCATCCCAAGACTTGTCACAGCACCAGAGTCTGATTTCTTGCTATATTATGCCATTTCTCTTAAATGGACAATAGCTGTAGTTGAGCCCAGTGCTAGAAATCAAGTTCCTGAACTGATCCCTGGACTTCAAAAAATATTTGCCATTACTGATTTAGATATTACAAACGAAATTCTTTAAATGTTACCTCTTTATTTCAATAGTTTCCATGAAAATGTAATTTGAGAATCAAATAAATATTTTAAGCACTTAATTCCAACACTTTCCCTGCCACAGAGCATTTAATTAGTACCCTGTTGCTATCGACATTGGCTTTTTTGAGTTAAGCATTAACAAGTTTCCAGAGGCTTGAAATCTGCCAATTTTATTTTTTTTTAATATAGGAAAATATTTGGCTATTTTGTGTGACTGCTTTGTGGAACCTACTGCAGCATGCTATTACATGTAGAATGACGATTTTTAACTATTGAAAAAGCAATTTATTTTTGTTGTGAAAAAATGTAGGCTTGTTTATGTTGATCTCTGAACATAAGCCTGATGAGTTGATTCCACTGAGTGAGTGCAGCATTAGTTGCTCTCCTGTGAAACTGAATATTATGTATACCTGACTGCACAAACTGTACAGACAATGATATGTTTTGGCCAAAGGCTTCATTACTTTGAAAAAAATGCCTCTCTGTAGGACTAGATCTTAATAACACAGTAGAGGCTAAATATTTTGCTTCATTTTGATTGTGGAACTTGAATGTGTGTTTAATTTTTTATGAACAGATTGATGACTCTTCTGCATCTATTTCTCTGGCCCAGCTTACAAAGGTATATATACATATATTCTTGTCAAATATAGCCAAATAAATTGTTGCTTGCTTGGTATTTTGAATGTTTTTATGCTGTGATCCTTATCTGGTTAATTTCTGTTACTGGTGCAAAGCATTTTTAGTAAAAAGTACCGAGCCTAAACATTGAAAATGTGTGTATATTTATTGATAACTATCCTGTAAAGAGTAGTTCCCAGTATGGGAAGATAGAAGGGGAGTCCCTTATCAGCCTCAACATAATGTTGCCGTTTTACTCAACTTCAAGACACAAAGAAGAAGCACCTCCGAAGCTGTTTTATCGTTTCTTTCATACGTTCCATTAATTTTGCATTGGAAAAATAGCACAAAGAAGAATTTTAATACTTTGGCTATTTATGGACTCCTAGGATTTCTCGGTGTGACAGCCAAAATAGAAGTATTTCCCTATCACATGGACACTTTACATGATAATTTTGGGATTCTGCATTCAAAGCCAGTGATAGTGCAATAATTTGCATAAAATTTGATAAAAGTTGTACACTTGTAGTGTATGCAGTGGGCAGCAGCTATGCAACTAATTTGTTTGAACACAGACTGCGTAAATGTAACTGTTTATAGGAATATACCAATGTGTATGTGTGGCATATTAGCAAATGTGACCTTCTGAAACTGTTGTATCTGCCTTGTTTTGCTATGAAACTGCTTGCATTTTCTGCTCAATAATGTGTAACTTTGTCTGGGAAAGCACTAGTGATAACGCTCATCAAGTAAATTAGCTGCTCTTTAAAATTCCTATTAAGCAGTGTTACCTAATACATTTGTGTTCCCTTTGTGAATAAAGACTGAAGTTATGTGTTTCCAAGAAAAACTTTATCTAGTAAAGTTGGGAAACTCTGAAGTGCATTTGCAAATACAAAATTTAAGTCAAGCAAGGTAGCTTTAGTTTGGTTTCCATTAGTGCTGTCCTTAAATTTGTCCTCAGTTCTGTAAGCTCATGTCAAGTTCTATTTTTATTGAGGTATGAAAAAATGTCCAAGAGGTATACAAGTTACGGAGAACTTAAGTATTTCTGAGTATTTTGTAATATAAAGTAGTTGAAAACTGTTACTTGCTTTAAAACCTCTTCAATGCACAGAGTCTTTGCATAGAGGAAATGTGTTTAACAGTTTTCTGTTTTATTCCTATTATGTATTAAATGCCATATTTGAATTTTGGTCTATTCCTACTAATGTTTTGTGCTATTGGATGTGTTCTGTAAAACTGTTTGGGTTCAAACAAATTAGCTCAGTATTTGTAAAATAGTCTTCTGTAAATGTGAACAATTTAATAGTTGTTAATCTGGAATGTTAAGAAAAAATATGTATTTTAATCAACTGTTTAATAAAATGTTGAAACTAGCTGGTTGCTTTTGTGGATGAATGTATAAAGTATGTGTGGCTGATCTGAATGTTAAGTGATTGAATATCTGAACAGTTAGTAAACCAGTCCCTTAGACCCTGCTTGTATCTGTTTATAGAGTGTAATGAACCATCCTAACAGGTACCAAGTTTCTGGAAACATTAGCTCAATAAGGGAGCCTCACATTTAGGGCTTGCACCTTAAGGGTAGTGTCATCTTGAAAGTTGTGTTTCCAAAACATTTTGTGCTGTCTTTAATTCCAGTTGGGAAAAATTATTTTGTCTGAATTTTTTTGTGCGTTGGTGCGATGCAGTTTTTTGGATACATTCAGTTGCACTCAGGCATTTTCCTTTTAAAGACATCTGAAAGGGAATAACAAGCCCATTTCCCAAGTTTTTAAAGGTGGTCTAGCTGGGCTTCTGAACCCTCAGTTTTCAGGATGACATTGTCCTTTTAAATATTTTAAGCATAAATAATGCATAGCATTATATAGCAAATTGAGGCAGTAGTGAACAGCATCACTTTACAAAAGGAAACAGCTCAATGCCTTTTATCTTGTAAGTATTACAGAAGGCATCTTTCAGAACATTTAACTCCAGACCATTTAAATTTATCACGGCAAACTGGAGCAGTTACACAAGCCATTACATAAGATACAAACTGCACCTAAGGTTTAGTTAGAATGCCCCAGCAGAGTTTTTTATCTTTTCATTTTAGGTTAGCAAGTACACAAACATCATGTAACGGCATAAGGACTCCCTGGAACATCTTCAAGACAATCTGATATTAAAGATCTGTTTTGGAGGCAACTTTCAGTTAGCTTTGTGCTGCTCTTTACAGGATTGGATGAGTGGTGTTTGTCTTTGACTGGATGGACTTAAATGTGTTTCTAATGTGTGTGTCAAATGATTACCTATTGAACAGACCGCCAATCTGGCTGAAGCCAATGCTTCCGAAGAAGATAAAATTAAAGCTATGATGTCACAGTCTGGCCACGAATATGATCCAATCAAGTAAGTCTTCAGCATGCCACAAACCAATTTTTTTAAAAAAGCTAACTATGGAAAAATTTACAGATTTACTATCTTCTTAATTAAAGCAAAACAGCAAAGAAACACACTTCTCTTCTTACACCTTTTTAGTTACATGAAGAAACCCCTGGGTCCGCCTCCGCCAACATACACTTGCTTTCGTTGTGGAAAAGCTGGCCATTACATAAAGAACTGCCCGACCAATGGGGTAAGGGACTGTGGAATGGAAGTTTTGATTAGTGTTAACTTGTTTATCTTTATTTTCATAGACCTCCATTAAACCTGTAGCAAGAAAATTAAAGTTTTATTCCTTGGTTTATTGTATAAGGGGGAGTGTAATATCCTGTTAAGTCCTTCTTTCTCTCCACTTTCAGATTGTGTCTGTCTCTTCAATGATCCATTTGGTAGTGCCACCTTGTATTTGTATCACTGACACCAGTAATGCAAGATCAGTGGGGTTGAGGGAGGGCTACCTGTCATGGATTATTATTGTGGGGCACTGCTCACTATGAAAAGTAGTTTCTTAATGATAGCTTACAGTAAACACTCTAAGAGCAGTAGACAATTTTGTTCAATTCTTTCATGCTTCAAATGGGATGTGACTGACTTAAATAGCATCCTTGGTGAAGCTGCAAAGTTCATGTCATGTGCCTGAACAATGTTGTTTCAACACAAGCCAAGAAGCTTAGTTAAATTTGGGCAGGGGTTCTGTTTGGAGAAGCTGTTGAATCTTTCTCTTATAGCTTAGAGAGATCTTTTCTGTTTTTTACCCCTTCGATAGGACAAAAACTTCGAGTCTGTTCCCAGGATTAAAAAGAGCACAGGAATTCCCCGAAGTTTCATGATGGAGGTGCAGGACCCTAATACCAAGGGTGCCATGCTCACAAACACAGGGAAATATGCCATCCCAACTATTGATGCGTAAGTATACAGGTCTTTAGAACAGAAATGTTGTCTCTAATGTTCAATATTCTTAGCTAGAGCTTTGCAACTAGGGAATCTTATTTATTGTAAGCAGCATATTTGTAAAAAAAATTTAAAAGAAATGTCATAATAAGAAATAATTGTGAATGTTTGTGACAGTTCATTTATGGGATCAGACAATGTCTTCAGCATCAGACAAAAACATTGCTTTTCAAAAACACCTCCAGAAACACCTGGTTTTACCATTTTGCTGCTGCAGTAGAGGGAAAGCCTCCTGTTTATTGATTTCTCCTGGAACTATTCTCTTTGATAATTCTGGTTTGATTCTGTCCTCCAGTGTTTTGGTTTGAAATTGTAAACTGCTTGAGTTCATTGAATATAAGGCAGGATGTTGTTAGAATATAGTATTTATTTGACTAGGCCCGTGACTTGGGTCAAATCCACACCATAAACAGAACATTACTTCTATCCACAAACTGTAGCCTGTTAAGAGTGCTGGGAATTGTAGTGTTGCGTTCTTTGGGCAGAAAGGTGGGGCACAAGTGGAATAAATAATAATAAATATTAAACACATATATTTAATGCTTAACATCATGTATTGTCTCACCTTTTTAAGACCAAGATGTGTGTCTGTGTTTTCAGTGCTGCTTATGCTATAGGAAAGAAAGAGAAGCCCCCTTTCCTGCCAGAGGAGCCATCGTCTTCCTCAGAAGAAGATGACCCTATTCCAGATGAGCTTTTGTGTCTGATTTGCAAAGATATAATGACTGATGCTGTGGTCATTCCCTGTTGTGGAAACAGCTACTGTGATGAATGTGAGTTCCATGAACTGGCTTGTGTGTGTGAATGTGATGGGAGAAGAACAAGGCTGATTGGGTTTTCCCACCTCTAGCGTTACCTGAGAAGGAGAATAGAAAGGTTGCTTTTACTTTAAAGTGACTTGCACCTGGACTGCTTCATTACTTTTTTTAAGAGGCAAGAACTGGACTGGGGTTTTTAAACCAAAATTTTTACTCTTCCTTTGACCCACAGAATTCTACTTTTTCCTTAAGTTCATTGGTGTTTTGGGTATATGATACACTCTAAGATATCAAAAGCCCATTCCACAGTAACTCAAAAGTGGCTTTTTTAGTGTAGTTGCACCTGTCCTATGGAACAACATCCCTCTTGAGATAAGACAAGAGCTGGCTATCTGCACTCTTTTGAAACAGTTGAAGACATTTTTGGTCCACAAGGCTCTGCCATGGGTGCTTATTTGGTGTGGTTTTCAATTTCATCCACTGTTATTTTCTGTAGATTATAGCTGTTTTGTACGTCTTGATGTACAAAAGAAGGCAATTAATAATAATATTCATAATAAAAATGCTGAAACTGTTGTCTTGCTTAAATTCTGACCTGGAATACTTTATAAAGCAAGGACATTCCTTTTCAGGCATTGGAGTTTCCCTCTGCACCTCCATGCCTCTAGAAGGACAACCACCCACCCCCTTCTGGAGCAGCTGCTTTTCAGGAGGCATATGGGAATGCAGTGGGTGTACAGCTTTGGGACATGCTACTAGATTTCTATACTGATCTACTATTTTGTGGCCTTTGCAGTGTCCTTTTAGTTACAGTACATCCACATTTAGAAGTCTTCTGGAATTCGTTGTTGTTTGCAGTCTTAGTAGCTGTGCTAGTACATGTGTACCATTGAGCAGAGTGTGAAGATTTTTATAACAGTTACACGTTTCACATGGCATTGAAAAATCATTCACAGGTATCAGAACATCGCTGCTAGAATCGGAGGAACATACCTGCCCAAATTGTCATCAGACAGATGTTTCTCCTGATGCGTTAATTGCCAACAAATTTTTACGCCAGGTAACTTGAGATCTATCTGTATTCAGTTCTGCATGCCTGAGTGTACATCTCTTTTCCCCTTATACTTACTGATCCACTATGTTGGCCTGGATGAGAAGGGATGGGAGTTAAGCTGGTTTGGTCCCTCTGTGACCAGCCACCCAAGAAATTGACCCACATGCTGTGTCCCTTCCTGCGGTAAAGGTATCCACAGCAAGATCTGATTTTCTATGACCTCACCAGCCCTGATACCAAGTAGCACAGATGTTTGGATGCAATCTTAGGGAAGCTTTGATATGCTTATTCGTTTCTCTTGACTGGTGATTTTTCTTCTCTAGGCTGTAAATAACTTCAAAAACGAAACTGGCTACACAAAAAGACTCCGCAAACAGGCCCAGCCACCTAGACCGGTAGTTCAGCGGAATGTGCCTTCATTACAAAGGCCAACAGGTTCCAGGCAGCAGGATCCCCTCATAATTCCAGCCACTTCTGCTCCTCTTCATACACCTGCATCCCTCACCTTGTCATCAGCTCCTGGCCAATCAGTATCTTCAACAGCAACGTTGTCAGTCAGCCATTCTGCCACCACATCTGCTAGTGAGGTCTCTGCACCAATGTCCCTGGCAATTCATGCTGACAAGCCAGAAGGACCTTTCCGGTAGGTCGATTTGTAGAAAGAGGCCACTAGATTGACAGCTTGGCTTCGCTTTTAAACTGTCCTGGGCTCTGGTGGTGTTGTGTCTAACCATTTGTATGCCTATCTCCCTGGAAGGATTGACTGCCAGTTCTTGAGTGTGTTTGTATGTCTTAGTAACTTATCTAAGGCTGGCAGTGAGTTCTCAAGTTACATGGGGTTCTTAGAAATCAAATCCAAAGTAAGGTATTTCAAGCCCAATGCTTGCTTTTGGCCTGTTAAAAAGTGAGTATTCTTATGGGAGGGAAATGATGCTTATATGTTTTAATGAGTTACTACATTGTTTTGAATTTCATGCAATCTCCAGGGATTGATTGATATTGCTATGCTTGTATCACATTTTGCCTTTTAAGATTTTAGGTTTGAAATCTTAAAAGACAAAGTGAGCTAGGTGAAGCTGTGAGAATATCCTAGTGAATTTCAAGAATTTCTCCTTTGGGTGCTGCAAGCATCCAAGAAAGCAATAATCACTCTTCATCTGTATTATTTGATTAAATTTCAAACTACAATGTTCTCATCGGCCGTCAGCTCAATTCAGATAGTCCTCAAGAGCCATGCCATGCTATAAATTGCCAATTTGGATATCACAGCAAACTGATTAACTTTAAACAGGAAATGGAGAATGGGAGGTAGGGCAGGAGAGACCTGGTGAATCCATAGCATGTCAATTCTCCTGAAACCATGGCTTGGAAGGTTCTCCGGAGCCTATCCACACCACATGAGGCAGATTAAGATCTCATTGAAAAACTTAGTCATAGCACAGTTCCTTTCTGATATATGCACCTCATATGTTTAACCGCAAAACACTTTCTTCATAGAGAGGTTCTCCCAACCATTTAATTATGTGTGTTGATTTGTTTTGCCTGCCCTTCCCCACCTTTTTAAAGCATTGTGAATATGACTACCTCCAGGGTCTGCAGAATGACTTTGTAGCACCCAGTCTCTTGTTTTCAGTCTCTTGCCTAGTAGTTCCTAACCTTGAATTTGCCTCTTTCACTGCAGTGAGGGCGATGGTATTGGACCAGCTGCTGCTATAGTGACTGCCTCAGAACACTCAAAGCCACCTTCCACACTGTCAATTAATACTGTGATGGAGGAGAAGGTAAGCTTTGTTTTGGAACTAAACTTGTTTGCACATTTTAGCAGCATCACAGTCTAATTCTGTTCCTCTTCCTTTCTGCAGGGCTATCAGGTTCCTGTGCTTGGGCAGCCAGCTTTGCCAGGACAGCTGGGCTGTCATGGGCATTCAATACCTACCATGGGTAAGTGGTACAACTTTGCTCTTGGCTATTTTTTTGCAATAGTCCTGCCATCTGCATTTAATAAGCAACTTCTTCCCCTTTTCAACATAGGTCAACCGATGAGAACTAATCCTGTTCGCTCTGCAGGCAATAGGTCAGGCTGGGAGCCGTAAGTATACCTCCAAAACATATTTTTTGTATCTTAGGTAGTAAGTTTAGAACACGATAAGCATATTAAACAGCTTGATATGCATAGAGAGGCTTTTTTAAAAGTTGCTGGTTAAAGGATCTAGTTTGGTATCAAGCAACACTCTAACCTCACTCCATTTTTTAAAGTGTCAAACTGTTATCGGGATCCGGGGACACCTTTAAAGTCCTAGATTAGAAATAAATATGATTGATTTCAAAATAACTCCAGTTTATTATAAAAAATAATATTTATCGATACTGCATTCCAGAAAAATAGAGCTGTATCCATCGAAGACATTGCATGATTGAAACAACTTCTGCTTGTGCAGTGGACCTTCTCCTCCTGCTGCAGCCAACCCCCCGAATCTACTCTGGGGGTTCCCCAATACCCCATGGCAGGTTTGGGAAAAGGTGTTGGGGGCGCTTGTGAGGAGGAGAGAGAGGGAAGTTCCGTTTCACAAGTGGAAGTTATTCAACTCAACACAGTTGAATACAAACTCTTATCTAGTCCAAAAGCTATTGGGGATACAATGAACCCCACAATGTCTACTCAAACCGCTCATTGAGCTATCGGTAAGCCCTAGAGGAAAAAACAGAAGAGATGCATAAATGAAATATTGAACTTTTAACAGAAGAGAAGATGAACTAGAACCCAAGCAAGGCCTAGTAGGTTTTTTCTTACAAATGATAAATCAGTGTTGAAAGCCAGCTTAGAGGAGAATTAACTGCTTAAGATAAGATTCATTCCTGTGATTTAGTGGACCCCTGCAATACTTTGTTCTGGGGCTTTGTACACACAGGAATGTGCAGAAAAACTGGACAGAAGATGTATTCCAGTGCGCTGAACACTAAAGTTATTTTACCTACCCTGTTTTGATAAGTTGCTGGGGATAGAATAGGCCCCAGTTAGCGAGTAGTTTCACTTTCCCATTCATTTCAACAGGGTAAATCAGCCTCTGACAACTTAGTAAATTAACAATTTTAAAAATAATTGAAAGGAGGCAGGGAGCAAAATGAGATGTTACAGGACAACTGACTCCATAATTGCTGAGGAATATGTGGAGTAGGTTTGCAAAACATTTTACAGCATATTTGCAGCAGTTGCTGGTACCAACATCAACATCATTAGCTGCCATTGGGCTAAAATAGGTAGTTTTTAGCACAGGGTGAGGGCCGGGGTTTCAAATTGCCAGGCAGCAGAATTTAGATTGCTTGAAGGCACCCTCAAGTTTTTGAATTGCAAGCCATAGGCAGAGGGTAGAGAAATCCAAACCCTGACAGGTCTGTATTAGACATACTGTGCTAGGTATCCTTTTTTAACATTACAAAATGCCAGTGTACAAAAGAAATGCAGTTGTGATGGGGATGCTGGATGGCAGGCATTTAAAACAGCAGCAGTAGCAGATTAACTAATGTTCATGAAAGGCTTGGAGGAGGAAAACTGTGGTAAGTGTTGTGTGTAACAGGGAGGGCTCTTGGGAGGATCTGTTGAACCGGAAGTGCTGAGGGGGAGCAAAAGAACAGTTTAGACTGGGTAGGCTGTAAGACTGAGGATGGGCAGTTACTGCAGAGGGGTGCTATCCATTTCACGTTTCTCTCTTGAGAACAAGGGGCAAGTGTAACACTCAGTGACAACGTGTTTTTGGGTTTCTTTAGAAGTTCAAACCGAGGACGCCCGCATAGTGACCGTACACAAAGGACTCAGGCCCCAACACTGCCAGCATCAACACCAGTCTTTGTGTCCGTGCCTCCTCCTCCCCTGTATCCTCCTCCTCCCCATGCACTTCCTCTTCCACCGGGGGTACCTCCACCACAGTTTCCTCCTCAGTTTCCACCTGGTCAGCCTCCACCTGCTGGGTACACTGTCCCCCCTCCGGGATACCCCCCAGCTCCAGCAAACATATCAACACCTTGGGTACCAACACCAGTACCAACGGCTCATTCAAATGCCATCCCAACGACACAAGCACCTCCTCTCTCTAGGGAGGAGTTTTACAGAGAACAGCGGAGACTTAAAGAGGAGTAAGTATTTGGCTCTGAATGAAGTTCCGTTATATTTCATTCTTCTGTTTCCGTAGAATATCAGACTGCAAAACTATGCTAAAAATGCGTCTGCCGTAAGCAAAAATGACATATAACGTGAGATTTCAAATGTTGGTTTTCACCAATAAAAATAATCCTTCAGATCTCAAACCCAGAAAACTGTAATTCTAACAAAATGCCATGAAGCATCTCTTGGAAACCTGCGTTGCTTTTTGCTTTGTTGTAGCATGTTCACATCTCAGTTGCATGCAGAGTCCTTTTTTGAGTGGTGTGGTTCTCTTAATGCCGCCTTTAACATTGCCCAATGACCTGACATCACGATCTCTCACTTTTGACAGGGAAAAGAAAAAGTCAAAGCTTGATGAGTTTACAAATGATTTTGCTAAGGAACTGATGGAATATAAAAAAATCCAGAAGGAACGCAGGCGCTCTTATTCCCGGTAATTGTTTTTATTGTGCCTGTATAGATGAGCCGGAACAAAATCCCCCGTTCTTTTCACGTTGCAGATCCCCTATTCAGTCCCTGGCATCATATCTAGTTTTTGGGTCTTATGTAGTACAGAGATGGGGAAAGATGCTACAACTCAGTGCCAATGGTACTGGGCAAGGTGGGCTAACAGTCAGATATAGCATGGCTTATTGCAGGTACAGGGAACCTCTGGCCCTTCAGATAATGCTGAAGTATATCTCCCATCAGCCCCTCAGCAAGCATAACCAGTGGCCAGGGATGATGGGTGTTGTAGTTCAGCAATATCTGGAGGGCCAACGGGTCCCCAAACCTGGCTTACTATGTTCATAGGCATTTTTCCTATGAAGACTAATGCAGGATACAGATTTGCATCTGTTGCCCTACATTTCAACCTTGATGCTAACTGCAGGCAATGTTATACAACTTCTTTCCCCCAATATTCAGAGGAACAGCATGCTCTGAATTTGCTAAGGCTTTGAAATAAATATTGTTTTGGATTTTTAAGGGTTAAATAGTTCCTGGGCTATTTTGAGAATGCACACAAAATGTCCAGTAGTAGCTTTCTGTGAAAGTAAACTCTGAAATAAAGGCTAATGATTGTCTGCAGACCAAATAATTTCTGGATACTCTGTTAGCTAGTCACATAGTGCATGAAAATGTTTCCCAAAGAGGAGCTGTCACCATCAGCTGGTGAATTGCTTCTTAAATATTGGGTGTACAAAAGCAATTTGTGATAACTTATTTGGTGCAGAGTGAGGAGCTATTCTTCATTGACAATAGTGATAATAATAAAGCTGTAAAAGTCCCACTGAGCTTGAATGAGTTGTTAGGGGTGCCCAGAAGAGCTCTGTGCATTGTCTCCTTCTAGGTATCTGCAGTGACTGCTTCATAACAGATTCTGTGACAAAAAAGGGAATGCTCTTCACTGTGGTTGTTCCACATAATTTGTACAAAAGTGAAGAGGCTACAGTTACACATCTTTCCTTCCCCCTCCCCCTTTGCTTTGTTTCTTAAGGTCCAAATCGCCATACAGTGCATCTTCATACTCAAGAAGTTCCTATACGTACTCCAAGTCCCGATCTGGCTCATCCCGTTCTCGATCCTATTCTCGGTCATTCAGCCGTTCCCATTCCCGCTCCTACTCACGATCTCCTCCATACCCACGGAGGGGCAGGGGGAAGAGTCGAAACTACCGTTCCAGGTCAAGATCCCACGGATATCACCGCTCAAGATCCAGGTCACCCCCCTACAGAAGGTATCATTCTCGATCGAGGTCTCCAGTTTACAGAAGCCAGTCCCCAAACAAGCGCCCTGTTCAGCAGGCAGAAGGGGAAAGGGAATACTTCGGCCGATACCGAGAAATTCCATCTTACGACATGAAAGCATACTATGGCAGATCCGTGGATATGAGAGACCCATTTGAGAAAGAGAGATTCCGGGAGTGGGAGACCTACCGGGAGTGGTACGAGAAATACTACAAGGGCTACACAGCTGGAGCCCAGCCCAGGCCTTTGCTTAACAGGGAGAACTTCTCCCCAGAGCGCTTTGGTCCTCCTGGCCCTAGGCGAGAGAATTCCCCATACGTTCGGGGCCGTAGAGACGATTACCCGGGAGGCCTGGGCCATCGGAATCGGAATGTAGGTACTGGCTACTCTGAGAAGCTTCCAAGTAGAGAGGGCCATGGCATGAAAGAGGTGGCCAAACTGAAAGACAAGGAGGTTGAGATCCCACCAGGAGAGGGGAAGGGAAACAAACACAAGAAGCACCGCAAGAGAAGGAAGGGGGATGAGGGTGAAGGCTTCCCCAATGCTGACCTGTTGGAAGGCTCGCGGAAGCCACGGGATCCTGCCCCTGGGGAAGAGGGCAGCAAGCCTGAGTCACTCTTCATGCTCCCAAGCAGGGATGATGCTACTCCTGTCCGAGATGAGCCAATGGAAGCAGATTCCGTTGCCTTCAAACCCACTTCTGACAAGGAAAGGAAAGAGAAGCCAAAGGCCAAAGCCGAGAAGACAAAGCGAAAAGCAGAAGGCCCTGCCACTACCAAGAAAGAGGTGCAAGTGAAGCCAGCTAAAGCACCCCAAGAGAAAGTGGAGGCAGATCGTGAAAAATCCCCCCGGGCAGAACCTCCTGTGAAAAAAGCCAAGGAGGAGTTGCCAAAGGCTGATCCTATTAAGTCAGTGTCCTCTCAGAAAGATGAGAAGGCACTTGGTACGCCACGCAAGGTTCATCCCCGAAGCTCAAAAGAGCATGCAGAAACTAGATCAGCCAAGGAGGAGAAGGCCAAGAAAGATCCCCCCAAGGAAGTCAAGCAAGAGAAGCAATCGAGTAAGGAGGAGAAGTCAAAGAAACCTGTGGACAAGAACAAGCCTGTGGATGCAAAGCCAGAGAAAAGGAAAAGGAAAGCCGAGGAAAAAGGAGACAAAGATCACGAAACGCCGTCGTTAAAAATGTCCAAACCTGACATTGTAGAGTCGAAACCATTGCCAAAGGGGAAAACTGAGCCAGAGGGTGAAAAAGCAGAGAGGACCCCTGAAAAGGACAAAGCTGTTTTGCCAGTTGCTCCAGCAAAAAAGATTAAGCTGAACCGAGAAACTGGCAAGAAGATTGCCAGTGTTGAAAATGTCCCCCCAGTGAAGGAGGCTCCAGCCGAGAAGTCTGAGCCACCCCCCAGCAGCAAAGGGAAACAAGAGAAGGCGAAAGGAAAGCTGAGGAGGAAAGCCGCAGCTGCCGATGGATCTGGTCTGACGCTGGTTGATTATACCAGGTACCTCCTGATTAAAACTTAAAAATTAATTTCACTTCCTGTCCATGTCATGTTGAGTACTGCCTCCTTTCTTAGGCTTTGATTTGGCCTCTCTTAAACCCAGGTGGGAGTAGAAGATACAGTGGTGCCCCGCAAGACAGAAAACCCGCTAGACGAAAGGGTTTTCCGTTTTTCAATGCGCTTTGCAGGACGAATTTCCCTATGGGCTTGCTTCGCAAGACGAAAATGTCTTGCGAGTCTTGAGATTTTTTTTCGCTTCCCCCCCCCTTTTTCTAAGCCGCTAAGCCTTTAATAGCCTTTTAGCAGCTAAGCCGCTAAGCCTTTAATAGCCGCTAAACCGCTAATAGCGCTAATCTGCTAATAGGGTTGCTTCGCAAGACGAAAAAACCGCTAGATGAAGATACTCGCGGAACGGATTCATTTCGTCTTGCGAGGCACCACTGTAAGTAGCTGACGTTGGCTGGTCTGGATCTGGATCTTTCGTCTTATGGACAAGCCGGATCAATCCCTCTGATATAGATCAGTTGCCCTCCAGTCCCAAGCAGTCCAGATTGAGTCATGGCCTTTTAATTTCCCTTCTAGCATGAGGTTTTTTATGAAGCAATTTGCCCACCTTTCCTTGATGTCTGGGCTGTGTCGGTTATTTTGTGCCTGTGGCTAGGTAAAGTGCACTTGCCATTGGCCATTGGAAATCTCACTTCAGCATTTTCCATCGAAGGGAAGGAATCATTGCCTGATGTGGCTTACTAGTGTTAATTTATCAATGCTACTCTGTGATCTGTGGGTGAGGGGGCCTTTCAGAGTTCTTCATTTACCCTAGAGGCCCATTCTCCCCCTCCCCCCTGTCATACCCACCTGTCACAATATCATTTGATGTCAGGTGTGCAAAGTGCCCTCATGACAGGTGGGGAAAATAGCCTAATTGGCTGTGTCAGGCAATGATTATTTTCCCTTGATGGAAAATGCTAAAATAAGACCTGCAAGGGGTCACCCAGGCTTGATGGGAAGGCTACATCTGGATTTGGATCCACTCAGGAGCTCCTGATTGAAGTTCCCAAGCAGACCTGATGTCTGCTGAAAGCAGTACAGTTTTATATTCCATGCCAAATGCAAACAGCAAAGAAACAATTGGGAGCCTCTGCAAGAACCACTTGCATTCGGCACTGTTTCATTTTGGCACTGAGTGCCCACTATGCTACTTTTGGCCAGGTTAGATCCACTCCAGTGGATCTGATCTGGCAGCACGGCTTGCATTCCTTGCTGCATTTTAACGACATTGAATGCATGGCACGCTTGCAAAAGAACAATCCCACCTGCCAAGCGTGGACTGCAGAAGGTTTGCCATACCTGAATCCAGCCCACTGTGTCAACAAGGTTCCCTGCGCCTTTTGCTGTCAAACAGAAATCTCTTGAGTCACAACAGCCCCTCTCTCTAAAGTGTAGGCTGAGAAGAATTAAGGCTTGGTTACTAATTTTACTTTTCTGTAGTGGGAAAACGCACATGTGGCCTGGATAGGGGGGATGGGACTCTGGACCCCAATGTTCCTGAGGGAAAAAATAAACCCCAGGCCAGTTCCTTGATGCAAGGGCTGTTTTCTATGTGAAAATAAAATAGTAAAGTGGGGCTTCTGGCCCTGTAAAAAAAAAAAAAGAATATCCCCACAATCTAAACTTGGAATTAAATTATGCTGCTTTGATGTCTTCCTTAATAGGCTGTCTTTGGTTTTTCCTTCCTTAGCACCAGTTCTGCTGGAGGAAGCCCTGTGAGAAAGTCAGAAGATAAGCTGGACATGAAGCGAACTGTCATCAAGACCATGGAAGAGTACAACAATGACATAACAGCCCCTGCCGAAGATGTCATCATCATGATCCAAGTTCCTCAGTCCAAGTGGGATAAAGACGATTTTGACTCTGAGGAGGAAGAAGAGGAGGAGGACGTTAAATCTGTGCAAGTTCCCTCTGCAGCTGGGAAGCCCTCGAGTGTCGTCAAGAATGTCAGCACAAAGCCATCCAACTCCCTCAAATACAGTGAAAAGGATCCTGAAAGTTCACAGCCTGAGTCCAAAAACTCCAAAACAGTGTTATTGTCCAATGAGAAAGGGAAACTCAAAGAGAGGGATCACACTGCATTTGACAAAGACTCTTCTGAGAAAAGGAAGAGTGGCACTCAACAGGAGAAGGAGCGCTCCGAACGCAGTGCTGAACAAGGCAATGCAAAGAACTGCTCTTCTAACTCTTCCAAAGAGGCCAGGTCTTCAGATAAACATGAAGCTGCCCATGGGTCCTCTGGGAAGGATTTCACTCCTACCTGGGACAAAAAGTCTGACTATGACAGCAGCAGTAGCAGAGACTATTCTGGTTCTAAGCGAAGAGAGGAAAGGAGCGACCTGGCACGGAAAAAGGTCTCTCCTCCTCGCAGCCGTGATTCTGCCACCTCTGGACAAAAAAACAAGGCCAGGGATGAGCGAACGGAGCAGCCCAAAAAGGAGGCTGGGGACTCAAAGCGAGGCAGTTACAGCCCTCCGAAGGACCGGAGGCCAAATGACCACAAAGCTCCTTACGACTCCAGACGTTCTGCAGAACAACACAAGTCCCAGGAGAGAAGTTCGGGCAAGGAGAGAGAGAAACGCCCGTCCTCTGAGACTACCTGGAGCAACAAGGAGAGGGTGGCAGGTGGGAACAAGTCCTTGCACCGGCGCTGCTCACCAGAGGCAAGAGAGCCAGGGACAACGGTGCCGAATGACAAGGGCACCACCAAGCCGAAGCCACTGCCCAGCCACTCTGCCCGTCTCTCGTCTGACCCAACGAGGGAGACGGACGAGGCAGCTTTCGTCCCAGACTACAATGAGAGTGACAGCGACAGCAACGTCTCTACAAAGCAAGAGGACTCCCCTGGAAGAGCCACCCGGGAGGGGAAGGATAAGGCCCCCGAGAACAGTAAGCCCAAGGAAGGAGCGGTGGGGACAGCAGTCTTGGCCCCCCCAGGTGGCGGGAGCCAGAGCCAGAGCAGCCCCAGCATCAGCCGCAGCCAGAGCCCTTCTGAGAGCCAAGGCCGGAGCCGCAGCAGCAGTGCCAGCTCGGCCGACAGCCAGGACAGCAAGAAGAAGCGGAAGAAGAAGGACAAGAAGAAGCACAAGAAGCACAAAAAGCATAAGAAGCACAAGAAGCACGGCGGGACAGAGTCGGAGGCAGAGCGGAGCCAAAAACACAAACACAAGAAGAAGAAGTCGAAGAAGAACAAGGAGAAGGAGAAAGGAGACGACCAAAAAGCTAAGGCGGCCCCCCTCTAGGGCGGAGGGCGGGGCAGGGGGTGGACCGACCTACAGAGGGACTGAGTCGCCTGTGTGAAATTTTGTTATAATGTAAACAAATGAGAGCCTTGTAAATAATGCCATGACGGGCCCTGTGCTGCACTTACACAATTGCTGCTTGATTTGATTTTTACATCAGAGCTTTATAAAGTGAACATTTTGTACAGACTTGTGAGTTGTGACCATGTGATATGGGGGAGGGAGGTGGGTTTTTTATTTAATTTTATTTTTATTTGGGGGGGCTCTTTTAACCACCATTAAAATAGTTTGGGTGGTGTTTACTGTACTGTGAAAAAATTCACACTTAATTTTTTTTTTTTTTAATTGCCTGTCAGGAAAAAGAAAAGGGCTGATATCGGTTCTAAAATATCAGCCAGAGGACTTGTGGAATGCATTACAGCCCTGTTCTGTTACTTTTGGATTACAATAAAAAAAGAATTCATTAAACTTTATAATCAATGTGTTAGATTTCCAGCACCAGCTTTAATCAGGCAAGGAAGGGAAGGTGACCCTCACCTCCCCAATGAGCTCTACCCTTCATGAGAAATTGTCTGTCTCCGACAGAACTTATTGGTTTAACACAGAGAATGTTAAACTGGAGGGTGGGTGGCTAGGAAGCTCTGTGAGCATTAATCTTTGAAAGCAGTCAAGTTCGCTCTTCCATGTAGAGAACTTGGACTAGTAAATGCATCATCCTAGGAGGCTGTGTGCTTAAAGCAGCACTCCTCAAGCCTGGGGGTGGGCTCCCTTTGGGGACCTGAACACGATGTGTGACCCCTTGCCATTGGACCCATATTGGTCCACATTTTGATGCATAGTGAGGATGATGGTTGGGCTAAACTGGTTTAAATGGAAGCTTGGCTTTCCAACCTGGCTGATTCAAGGTTACATGACAGCCAGCAATAATTGCCTCAGGCAGGATTCCAGACTGTCACAGGGCCCTTTAGCTTGGTGAGTAACAACCCAAACCCTATGCTCTGCTAAGCAGCCGGAGCAGGTGGCTGGGGCTTGTTCTGTGCAGCTAGCCAGCATTGGCTCCTGCCAGCAATTTGGGAGATTCAGTTCAGCCTTTCATTGTCGGCACTGTCAGTTGTCAATTCTGTCAGACTTAAGATTTTTGGAGGGGAAATAGTTTTTTTGAAATTGGCATGTTTTATTGCCTCAAAAGGTTAAACACCAAGTAAGGGGTTCCTGTTTTTAATAAGAAAAATATATATCCTGCAGCATTAAATTGCAATGCTAGATTTCTAATGCCTCAAAATTTCAGGTAAAATCATGGAATGGTGCTGTCAGTTGAACATGAATTTTTCTCTGACACTTTGGAGAGTGGGTGTTGCATTGCTCCTGCTCTCCTCAGTGGGCCAAAGAAAGTCCTAATATTCCTCCACGATGTTAGACGAAGCAAACAGACAAAAAGGTACAACCCTAACTTGGCTGTTTCACACTAATACTTGGCTGTGATTCCCTCCGTTTTCCTAGCACTACACATGGTTGCAAAGTGGTCACTGGGAGTTTCCACAAGAGGTAAACAAAAGAGGAGCTTCCTGGATCAGGCCAATGGCCCATGCAGTCCAACACCCTATTCTCACAGTGGCTAACCAGTTGCCTATGTGGGAAGCCCACAAGCAAGACCTGAGTGCAGCACCTTTCCCCCAATTTCATTTTCTAGTACCTGCCATTACTGCCTCTAATAGTGGAGGTAGCACAGACCCCTTGTGACTTGTAGCCATTGATAGACTTCTTCTCTGTGAATATGTCTATATCACCTTTAAAGCCACTGAGGTTGGTGGCCATCACTAGTTCTTACAGGAGCAAATTGACATAGGTAGACACTGTTCTGTGAAAGGCTGTTCAAATATGGACTCCAGCACTCCTCCCGCAGGTGATCTAGACATAATTCACAGAGGAGAATAAGGCTATCAATGGCTACAAGGGGTGTGTGCTACCTCCACTATTGGAGGCAGTAATGATCACAGAACAGAGGTGAAACACTTCCCTTTTTTTGATACGTACGCTGTGATCCTGTTACTGCAGCCTCAGCTATCATTAACATTTCTGAAAGACTTTTCACATGTACCGCTGCCAAGTCAGGACTCCCTCATCCAACTTACAGTTGTGACTTTGGTACCGAAACACAAGGCTACCTTTCATCTCTGGAATTTCATCTCAGTTTCAGCACAGCTTTCCAACCTGCCAAGTTCATTTTCATCCTTGATTTTGTCTTTGGTGGTTCCCCTCGCAACTTTGTGTCATTTGCAGATTTGATGAGCTCCCGTATGCCTTTGCCACCACAAATTTATAAATACATTTACCAGCTCTGGACCTAGGCCAGAGCCTTGTGGCATTCCAGATGAGACAGCTCTCCAGGTGGATGTAAGCCATTAATGGGTACTCTGGTGCTGTTGTTCAACCAGCTGCAGATCCTCCTAACAATAGCATCATCCTGCCCATATTTTAACCATAGGTCAAAAATATTATCATGAGAGAATTTATCATATGCTCTTTTGCAACCAAGTTATACTGTCTACCACATTTCCATGAACTACTATGTTGGTAGCTAAGATAAAATTGATTTGGCATGTCTTGTCCTTCAGAGACCCTCACTGGTTTAGTAATAAAACTTCATTTCCCATGTTTTGAAGGGGCAGGTATACTTTTTTTCTCCCATATCAGTTTTGTTCTAACAGGTTATATTGGGACCTGGGTGAATGAAATCCACTCACCCTTAACATTTCAACACTGCCATGAGTAATTCATCCAAGGCTGTTGGAGAAGCCCAAAACATCAATAACGCTTGAGAACATACTGTGAGGTATCTGTTAAAGTTGGTTGCTTAAGGATATTCACTTAAATGTGGCTTCTTAAAAGTGGCATCCAATTATGCTGAGGACTACAGCCCTCTTAAACAACAACTCTCCGGTTCAGTGTTTTGGATTTGGTTCCTCCCTATCTGAGATGCTCAGCATGTTAACAGTTTTTCATTTAGCTGAGCCTTTTAAATTCCCCATTAAGGGATCTCGGCTCTGCATGCTGCCTTGATTAAGGAGAGGGAAATTGCCATTTATAGACTACCATTTATGTTGACTTTTAAAAGGGTATTTTGCACAGTACTGGAGAACTGCATCTCTCTCAAACTGACGGTCCTTAGAATCATGGAACAATGCCTCCTCTGACCACTTCAAGGGCCACCACATTCTCAATATGGCAAGAAGAGATCCATTGGAAGCAAGAATTGGACTTCCCTGCAGGCAGAGTGTTGGGTGGGCTGGAGAGGAGCTGGCATATTCAGACAGGCTCCCCCATATACAGGAAGGCAGGGAAGAGGCTGCTTAGTAGGTGTGAATTTACAGGTTCATCTCTTCCCCTTGCCCCAACTTTCTAATTACACAAGGTACTTGGCTATTCCTCTGTAGTTAATGATGGGAAATGGGCCTCCTTTGGGAAACCTAAACTGCTTAGGCAATGAAAATGTATAGTACTTGATAGCTGTGGTTGCAAGCATCTCTGCTGTGACAGAGCTACACATAGACAATTGATAACTTTACAGCTCATAAGCTCATCTGTATTATTGCAGTGGGCCTATAAACACACAAAACTTCTCAAATACTCAAAATACAATGAATTTCCAGATTTCTATGCAAAAATAATTACTGCTCCAGATGTTTTAGACTACAGCTCAGTCCTGCCCTGGGCCATCTCACACCACCACAATATCCATTGTAACCAAGGAACTAAACATCAGAAAAACAGCAGCACAGAAGTCAGGACACCAGACACTGAAAGAAAGAGTCGGCCTGGGTGAACAGCGGTCAGCCTTGCCCAGCCAGGCAACCTCCAGATGGGACAGGGTTGGCTGTATATTGCCTCCTGTGAATACCACTGAGGAAGCTCCCTTACACTGAGTCAGACCGTTGGTTCATCCAGCTCATTACTGTCTGCACAGACTGGCAGCAGCTCTCTTAATGTTTCAGAGAGGGGACTTTCCCACCCGCACCTGGAGATGCCAAGGAATTGACCTGGGACCTTCTGCACATAAAGCAGGTTCTCATCATTGAGCTGAGATCCTAGTGGTTTTGAACAAAGGCCTGATTTAAACAGGAACACAGCACTGGCCCATCTAGCTCATTACTGTACACACTGACTAGTGGTGTCTGTCCAGGTTTTCAGGCAGGGACATTCCCTGCCCTATCTGCAGATGCCACCAGCAGGGATCCAACCTGGGTCTGTCTGTGTGTAAAGTGGATGCTCTGCCACTCTGGCCTCCGGTTTTTCTGCAGCCAAACTCAACTTTCTTCAGATTTCCTTGTGCTCCACCACTCAAGGGCATTCACTGTGTAGCAACCAAGCTGGCAGTTTTCCAGTGCCGCCCGCCCGCCCGCCCTTCTTCTGGCCTGCTCATTTCCAGAGAGACAGAGCAGATCATCTTGGCTGGTTGCAGTGCCAGGTTCCTCTCTGTTCTTGTGGATGCCGCGTGCCACTTCCCAGGCTCCGGGGAGCCGGTGGCACCTCGCCCAGATGGCATCTCTCTCTGTCTCAAGGAGGTAGCGGGAGCGCTGAGGAAGCTGCCCGCCACTGGCATCCTCCGCAAGGGACAAAGCTCGGGCAAGGAAAAGAGGGAGGGAAGGCACTTCATGTGCCAAGGTGCCATCTGGAGCGTCTCCTTGGCCTACATGAATGCCTCCGTGCCTGGCACCAGCCGTGGATCCCTTTGTGCTGCAGAGAGCCAGTGGGGGGTGCAGCCCGAGACTTCTCCGGCATCATTCGTTGGCCTGTCTCTCCTTGTGCCAGCAGAGCAGGTAGGAAGCCAGCCCACCCCTTTTCTCCCCCTTAATTGGGGGCACAGGCCACCCTCAGCCATTGTGCACCAACTCTGGCTCTCCCCCCCCCCCCCAAAAAAAATTTAAAAATTCATTTAATCCCCAAAACAACCCTGTGAGGTAGGTTGGGCTAAGAGGGAAGGACTGGCCCAAGGATGCCCAATGAGTTTCATGGCTGAGTGGGGATATGAACCCTGGTCTCCCAGATCCTAGACCGGGGTCCCCAAATTAAGTCTGGCCCGCAGGACTCGTTTATCCGGCCCACAGTGACCCCCACTGTCCGCTGCCACCACCCTCTCTTACTGGCTCTGTGCTGTGCAGCTGCCCGCTTCCGGGTTGGAGGAGCAACAGAAATAGCTTGTGCGCATGTGCAAGCATTATTTCCGGTGCAAATCCGGGTCGGAGGAGGCCCGTGCACATGTGCCCAAGCTATTTCCGGTGCTCCTCCATCCCAGAAGGGCGCCAGAAATAGCATGTGCACACGCATATGGGCACGCGCTCCCCCGCCCTCTGGCCCGCCGTGCGATCGGTGCTGGAGACACCGGCCTGAGGCGTGGTAAGTTTGCTGACCCCTGTCCTAGACCAACACTCCTCCCCACTACACCACACTGGCTCTCAAAAAGCTCAAGGCCTATCTG